TAAGGGAAGATTATACTTGGTTTTGTGTGTAACTCTACCTAGAATGGTTCACCATTTTGGAAATGCGTGGCACTGAAGGGAACTGCTCGTGGTACCAGTGCCAACATGGCACCACTGCTGTTAGCTTTTGGAGTTATGCTTTCAGGGGATTCTGTATGCAGGAGTAAGCATCGACCCCTTCACTGGGTCTTCTGGGGAGTCAGGCCCATGTATTCATGTATTATTTTATAAATGACTCTCCTTGATATCACAGTCAGGCCATGCCACTATTTTTTTTTAACTTGAAGTCATATGTATAAGTAGGTTAAGTTACCTCTGGATTTCATTTCAGGTGTGAAAAGCAGACTCTGAGTCTCACTGGGTTAAAATTACAACAGGTGGGGATGGATCTGGTCCCCTGAACTAACCAAGTCTGGATGCACTCAAGTCTGGGCTGGGAGCTGGAAGGCAGGGTCTCTTCCCCGGCCCAGGCCAGGGCAGAGGAGGGCACTCACTTGAAGTAGTAACCTGCAGGTTCCAGGAAGGAAGTGGGCTCATTGGCCACAGACCACATCACGACGGCTGGGTGATTCTTGTCCCTGCGCACCAGCTCCTCCATCACCTCAAGGTGGTGCTGCAGAGACTGGTTGCTGTAGCTCTGGCTATGGGTGGGGAGAAAAGGGAGTGTGTCATCACCTGACAGGCTGGGCAGCATGGGCAGCATGGGCAGCGGGCACTCACCTTAGCTTGATGCCCACGCCAGGGCTCTCATCAATGACCACGATCCCATACTGGTCACAGAGCTGCATCACCTCCTCCGCATAGGGGTAGTGGCTGGTACGGAAGGCGTTGGCACCAAGCCAGAGAAGCAAGTTGAAGTCCTTCATCAGCAGTGGCCAGTCGAAGCCCCTCCCTCGGATCTAGGGGACAGCAGACTAGAGTGACCCCTGCCCCCTGTCCCTGATGCACTTCCTTCTAGAGCTGGACCCATCAGCCCTCTATCCAGCCAAGCACGGACCCCATCAGGCAGCAGTTTTGAGCAGTTTGCTTCACTGCTCTGAGCTGCCCGCAGCCACTGCAGGGGGTATGGGGAAGGTAAGGATGAGAAACAGCCCCCACAGGGACCCAGGAGCCCCAACTCACGTCTGAATCCTCATGCTTGTTGACCCCATGGAAATAGAAAGGTTTCCCGTTAATGAGGAACTGGTTCTTTGTGACAGCCACGGTGCGAATCCCCACCGGGAGAGTGTAGAAGTCAGACATGGACCCGGCTGCCGTCTGAACAGTCAGCCTCACCTAGGAAAGCCAAGCACTGGAGTGAGGCATCCTTAATGGCCTGAGTCCCACACAGCTGCCCAGCAGCAGGACGGCCCCGTGTAAACCACAGCAGCTCACCTCTGGGATGCAAGCAGAGAGATTGAGAAATTACAGGCTTCTGCCATTAGCAAGGAGGAACCTTTCCCCACCCTGCCCCTCAAGCCTGCTCTTCAAATCTGGGCTGCCCCACCCAGCCGAGAAAACCTCGGGCTGGGAATGCTTCAATCCAATTGACTAGGAAGCTCAGAGGCCCATGCCTGCCTGTCCACCTGCTAAAGCCAGGTAGGGTTGCTGGAAGGGGGCAAAAGGCGTCCCACAGCCCCAGTCTTAACCACCATTACCTCCAATGAGTACAGGTAGGCAGGGTGCTCATGCATCAGGTATGGCCACCAGAGGTGGGCATTGGGCACCTGCAGCTGGCCGCGGCCTCCAGTCCCCCGGGCCACAATATTGCCTTCCTCATCCTGAAGGTACACTTCCAGCTGGAAGTGTTCACTGCCCTGGATGGAAATCTGGTAATGCACCAGCCCTGTGGGAGACAAGAGATCAGAGAAGAGAGAAGGAAGGATGTGACCTGGGTCACACAGATGAGAGGACCCTGAAGCCACCACTGAGTCCACTTAGGCCCTGAGACTCCAGCCAACAACTGTTTATTTTTTGAGCTTGACCTGCAGTGAGGAGATTGAGGGCAGCACAGTGCGGGAGGGACATGGGATCCCCATGTATCCTGAGTGATGTGATTTTAGACAAGCCCCATTTCTCATTGGGCTTTATTTCCTCATAAAAGGAGGTCAGACCAGATGGGTATTTCAGAAGCCCTTCCCAGTTTACACAGGCTGGATTTTAGCTCCTCAGGTAAATGGGAACCTGTGAGGGTTAAGAAATGCTGGGAAAGCCTTTCTCCTGGAGCATCTTTCAAAACTGGGAACAGAGCCACTTTGGGCCTGGCGGAGGGAAGATCCCGCCGGGAGCCCTCACCAGTGTTTTGGTCCACGCTGGTGGTGACGTCGATGTCATCAATGTAGGTGGTGGGCGTGGTATAGAGGACCACCGGCCGGTGCAGTCCCGCGTAGTTGAAGAAGTCAAAGTTTGTGTTCTGGACAAAGTAATGGTTGGGGTACCTAGAGAGGGAGGACAGTGGCCAACTGGGGTCTTGCCCTGCAGCCTTCACCTCACCGCTGCTAAGGCAGGTGGGAAGACCATGGGCAGGGTGGGGACTGGAATGGGGGAGCAGGTTCTGCTCACATGGAGGTATCCGTCCGGTAGAGGATGGTCCCTGGCGGCAGGGTGTGGGGGGTGAGTGTGTTGTTGATGGCGATGGTGATGCGGCAGGAGGACAGGGGCCCACTCTGGACCAGCTTGCTGATGTCAGCCTCGAACGGAAGATGGCCCCCCTCATGCTCTGCCACATGGACCCCATTCACCCACTGCAGACACAGGAAAATACGGGGAGGGGGCCAGAGCATGAGGAAGGGCCACTGCCATCTCAGGTACTCCCTCACACAGAGGTGCCCTGCCAGCTTCTACCTGCCTCACCGGCCTGATGGGAGGAATGGAGCTCCATGGAGATTAAACAGCCCTCCCCAGTGTGGGGCATGAGCTCTTCCCGCCACCCACCCCAGAAGGCAGGCCGTCAGGTGACAGCTGGGAGCCAGGCACCCCAAGGAAGACCCACGCGTGCTCAGCAGCCGCACCTGCCCGCTCGCCCTGCCTGCTGCTCGTTGTACTGACCACAATGGCATAGTAGTGGGCGCTGCCAATCCTCAGCACCACTCTTGTGCTCAGGTCCTGGGTCCATCGCTGGGGCAGTGTTGCCTCTCGTTCATACCACACCCAGCCGACAAAGCCACGCAGCTGCCCATCCTGGCTCACATCATTGAAGCTGGAGGGAACAGGCATGTCCAGGGTGGGACCCGACTGGGGAAAGAAGGGCCAGGATCAGGTCCAGACCACCTGGGAATCTAAGACCAGGCCCCAGGCAGCCCCCTTCCCCAGAGGCCAGGTTCCCCTGCAACCCTGCCTTCAGGAAGCCTTCGCCAGACCCTGGAGGTCTAGGCCACCTCCCCATTGTAATTCTTTGCCAGCAACTGGCCAATGTCTATGGAGCTCATTTATTCGCACAACTCCATGATGTAGACATCAGTCACTCACTCGTTCAATGGACGGTGCAGGGAACACCTGCAATGTTGTTCTGGGCACGAGGAGTAAACGGTGAACAGGCCTCTGTGCCGACAGGGGCAGGGGACTATCTCAGGAGTCAGGGAAGGTCTTTGGGGGCCGGGGCCAGGGCCATGGGATGCTGCCTCAGCACAACCTGGCAGAATTGGGTGAACCTGAGCCGGGCAGGGAATCCCTTGAACACCTCAGGTCCAAGGCAGGGCAGGGGTGAGGCAGAGCACTCAGCGAGCCTGGACGGGGAGGTGGCACCTCTAAGGAGGGGATTTCCTCTGTCCTTCACAGCTCTATCCCCAGGGTCTGACACAAGCCCTGGAACCCGATAAATACTGGCTGAATGGATGGATAACTTGCAGATGAGGGATCGACTGCTAGGATGGTTTATGTCCAAGGACTGGCGGGCCAGTTCTTTCTCAAGGCAACCAGCCCAGGGTCTCCGGCACCAGGGAAAGAGGTGAGCCCAGGGAGGGCCACACGCAGCCTGAATGAAAGCAGGAGGGGACGATCGGCAGAGCCCAGAGACGAAGAGGAAGATAGTGGCCAGGCCACCCCAGGAGGAAGGCGGGCCACGCAGGGGCTGCTTGGCAGGGGAAACTGTGAGTGGGGCACATGCCCGGCACCCAGCACCCCGCCACCACCACTTCCTTTTTTCCTCCCCTGCTGACTGCTGGGCAGCAACCCCCCAAATAGCATCTGGGAGAGGCGAGCGGCGCATGGCACACAGGCCCGTCCCAGCCCCGGCTCCAGGCAGAGGGGAGACCTGGGGGTCCCTGGCTGGGCCTCGACCTGAACCGGGGACCCACGGTCCTGCCTGCCAGG